CTACTCTGAAACCACTGTAATCAAATTCATACTGTGCATCTGTGCCTCTCCAAGATCCGTCGCTCCTCCTCCAAATCCAAACGCTCGTAGCAATGGAACCTGCGGCGGCAATGAAGGCGTTCCGATTCCGTCACTGCGGCTCGACTTGGTGTGCTAGCTGCTAACAGTTTGCTCGACCTGGTGTGGCACCCAAAAGGCACTCGAAGGCCATCCACTCACCAACGGTCTGAGGCACTCAATTGCCTCAATTGGACCTGCCTATCGGATGATCGACTTTGCCAAAACTGGTGTTGAATCCTCTGATTCTTTTAGGCCCCTCAGTGGCAAACCAACCCTCATTGAGGGAAGACACCTTCCAAAGGCATATATATATATAATATAAGATTACGGTTCTTGAATGAACTGGCGGTTCCAGTTGCCGTGGTGAGCGAGTTTTTTGCAAACATGGATTGCACACACCCACTTGGACTTGTCGTCCTTCCGTCTTGGACAAGTACGCCACTCAGTGTCGAACAGATTATATCATTGATTACCAACGGTTTGAAGGGCTCCAACAGGTGAGACATTATCCACTGACTGGTGGGGGGGTGCCTTTCAATGAACATACCCCTCTGCATTCCGCCAGGGGGTCCTGCTTGGGATTTCATAGATATAAAACGGGGGGGGTTGGACGTGGCGGAGATGTTTTGGGGTATCAATGAACCATCCCCCCCAAAAACGACCAAAACGATGGCCTTTTTGGCGCGGGCCGGACATCTAGGACCACCAAGGCCATGTATGGGAAAGGTGACCTACATGGACCATCATGGACCTACATGAACCCCTCAAACCACCCCAATGTAGGTCAATATGACATACTTGGATGATCCAGATTGTTTGAATCAAATCTCCTCCTATCCATTCCGCCGTTCTGCCCAGGAGGCCTGTGACCGGCGGTGGCCCACGTGCAGGCCTGGGCACCCACGTCACGGAAAGCACTTTTGGACTTGGAAAGGAAGATGCTGTTCAGTGGATGAGAGACCTCACACTAGTTGACTTCGTCGAAGCTTAAAGCCGCAGCTGCTGCACATGCGTGTTTGGACTAGCTCCACACATCCACAAGGAGTGCAACAAAACGCCTAAGCACAAATGATTGAAAGAAAACATAAAAAAGAACATCCGAAAAACACACAATTGCCGAGATGTTCTTTCAATCATTTTAAAGTAGGTTCCCGACCCATGTTCTTTCAACGTGGTCTCACCGAGAAAAGTCCCATGGGTTCCTTCGGCTTCCTTCAGGTCTCGACCAGCACCGGCGAGCCGATGTCGCGGAAGGGGAAGGAGCTCGGTCCGCGCGTCTCGCCTGGCGGTCCGAAGCAGCGGAAGCGGTGTCATGTCTGGGGTCAAAGGGAGAAGAGACCGCACCAAAAGATAGCCAACATTAACCAAATTGAAGAGACATCTGGGAGAAATACCAAAGTAGGGAGAAGATACCAACAAAAACTATCTGGAAGACCATGAATTGAAGCGGTAGAACTCTTTTTTGTGTCCTCTCATTTGTGCTCCTGTTTCGGGGGATCTTTGAGCACGACTAAAAGACACTATCACATGTGAGGTCATGAATTCGCCCATCACCCATCTGGCTGCCCACCACCGGAGGAGCCTCGGTAGACTTCCCGCAGGTCCTGTGACAACAGGGCTTCTGTGTTTCGCCAAGAAGCGGAGGCTTGGTGGGGTCGGTTTCGGACCCCAAACTCACTCAAGCCTGTGGCGGTTCCGGATGGTTTGTGCGGAAGACCTTCCTCGCTTCGAAAACAAGATGTAAGCTCGTTATTTTGTGCAATTTGATGATATGTATTAATTAATTGTCATGGTATCATAGTATCAGGATAATTATGCTATCATATGCTATCTGTTCAACAAAAAAGACATATGCTTCCAGCCTCTCTCGTTGGACTTTCCCAAAGTGCGTTACACACAAATTGGCAAGCCAATATTGTATATATAATTGTAATATATACGTACAATTACGTACGTATCAGATGCTCCCATCGTAAATCTAGTTACTTCGGGATGGCTCAACTCCCATCCACTAAGACCCAACTCCTCGATCCTAAAAACCTTCGCCAAGGGACCCTGTCACTTTGAAATGTCAGGCACTGCCCTCTCGGGACTTTGTTCGTTCCAATACACGTGGAAGGGATGCGGTGCCCTTCGGACGCCCAATGGGAGGGATATCCCGAAGCTCGAAGGCTCCAACTGTGCAAGTCGTGGAAGCCGAGCGCGTGCCGCTTGGGGAACATCACAAGATTTCTCCCCTTAGAGTTCGAAGGAGTTCGAGATGAATGGAGGCAAACATGTATCATATTATCATACATCTAAATCATTTAACATGTATACATCAGCACCACCCAAAGGATCCAAAGGGTGGCTGTTAGATGGAAAATAGATAGTCAGGGGGTCTATCGTGCTGGCATAAGACTATAAGCTTAAGGATGCTTAAGGCGGTGTTCGCTGTTGCCTCTGGTCTGGGCCTCCCTGTTCCCCACAGGCCTGGAAGGTCAAGACACGGCATCCCGGAGAGCAATGCTCCAAGAATGACCTCCAGCGTCAGGCGATCCGAAGGGACCAGGAGGGTTAAGCAGAGCCTCCTGATGTTTGAGCTGTAGAGGCTTTTCATATCTTTTGTTTCTCTTCTTTCAGTTCGTTCGTAAGAAACACGTCACGAGCACAAAGGACATTTATACAGGATTGAAGGACATGGCATGGAGCCAGGAACATCTGAAGGACATTGATTGACCACAATGAGCGATCGTTCGATCCTCATCCCCTTGGAACGTGCCTCACGCTCGGCCAGGAGGCACGGGGGAGACAAACCTGCCAGATGAGAAGGACAGGAAACCCTTCAACTCAGAATTCCAACATGGCACGCGATGTTTTTGGGGGAAGACCTAGAAACATCGTGAAACATCTATCCAACTCTTCCCGTTTACGTGGAGAAACAGCTATAGCATGCTATAGCCACAGCTGAAGAAGATTGCAACCGCGTGTTGCCTGGAGGAAGATCAGCGTGGCCGCTGCGATCTCCTCGTCCTTGACGATCTGAAAGAAGTCGCCGTAGCGCACCTCCGATGGGTCGCCGTTTTGCGCGTTGGAAGACATCACTCCGCTTTGGTGGGTTGGTGCGGAATGCTGTGGGACGAGAGGATGGCTGTGGAGGGAAATGCTGGATGGAATGAACCATCCAAGGGTGGATTCCGTGCTTGACACATACCTGAGTCATACTGCACAACTTGTTCATATCTTCAAGTTTGGTTTTAGTTCACCATGTAAACCCCCAAGTCGAAGTGTGTACAATTGTGTACATCTTGTTTGGGCCCATCCTGACACCAGGGCCTCCATGAAGCCCGTCTGCGTGTTGGCTCCCATCAAGCGAGCCTCACAACAGAAGGTCGGACGGAAGCCAGGAACAAGAGATCCCTAGGGCTCCAAGTACCTTCTAAGGTGTTTGGGGTGGGTTTAGAGGGTCGAAATACCTTCTGAGTAGGCACTTGGAGCCGTATAGGGGATATGGATCAATAGAGAACCAAAGACTTACCAGCTTTCTGTCAACACGAAGAAGACCAGTTTTCAAGGTTTGTAGGAATAGAGTCTATCGATGAATCATTAGTTGAACTATGTTGAACTCCTTGGATAACTCAAGTCCCATGCGATGCATCTTGAAAGAAACACCCCGGCCGGAGGCGAACGACAGGTGATGTGAAAAATTCCGGTACCTCTGGAAATTCTCGACAGAACTTCCCTGATCGGAACTTCTGTGGAGATCTTGTTTGGGTTTCTGTCCTTTTTCTCTTCTGATCCGTCGACCCTGGTCGTCTCGGTTCCCAGATTTGTTGTTCGGACCCGCGTCGCGTCGACACTGGTGCCTTGGAGTTTTGAAAGCTCACCCGCAACTCCTCGGGGCACCTGAGCGGGGAGATCCCCGCTTCCGCCCAAACGCGCGCGGGGAGATCCACGCTCCACCGCAACGGATCTCCGCGCTCCGCGAAGAATCAGATGCCAAAGGATGTCAATTAAACTACCTCACCAAAAGGATTTTGTTTGTGGGTTGGCAGCTATTCCTGGACCTCCCAAAATCACCCCCCAAACCCGGATATCTGCCACATCTGCAGCCTGAACTCTTCGCTTACCCTCCGCCCATCTGCGCCTCACTTACCCTCCCACCGCCCTGGAGAGACACAGATCCCCCTCGGGCCCCCCTGCCGGTGGGCCAAGCGTTCCATCGCCTCCAGCGCTTTCCGATACCGCTCAAAGGCCAACTCCACGCCTGCCACGAGGTGACCAGAGCTGGCCATGACCGTCTCCTTGACCGTCCCTCAAAGTGGAATGTCTCCGTGTTCGTGTTGGAAAAATGCACTTGGTGAAGTGTCTTTTAGGCCAAGAACGGCCAAGAAGCTCATCTGCCCTAAGACTTGGATTTCTTGGGATCATTTCCAACCACTTTTCGTGAATTGACCTGTCCAAAATCATCCAAAATCCATGGATATTGCCAGGAATTTCAATCGATTCAACCGCTTCGCCTGATGCGAATCCACGCCTAGCACCGTGGCGCCCTGCAAGAAGAGCTGCAGCGCACAGCGGCCACGGCCCATGCCCAGCTCTAAGGCGATCTGCGGAGCTCAACGGCATACGGCGGAGACGGCGGAGATGTGGATGAGACATCGACGCCCGGTCACCGGCGTTGCAATCGATTTTGGGTGAGATGGGAACGCTCTTTACATCGAGTAGCGGTTTGGATAGGAAGCTTGTGCTGCACCCATCTTGTAAGGCCACATAGGACAAAATTTCCCAGCTTTTGTAGCACTGTAATGCACTGTAGAACCGAAATACATCTTACAAGATCTTACAAGTTTGTCTGGGGTTTCTTGTAATTCTTCTTTTCGGATGCATTCCTTGTTGAACTGTCTAACCTTCAGGAACCCCAGCTTCGGGAGTTGAGGAACCGTCTACGAAGGCCAAGACCCCGGCCCAGCTGACCAGGGGACTCACTTCTGCAGCACCACCACGAGTTATCCTCTTAGTGCATCTGGCCCGCGGACCCATGGGAATTCTGCACCCACGTCACCTCGTGCTGTCGAGGAGCACCCAAGAAGTGCATACCTGGACGCTCGGACGGAATCCATCGCCATCGATCGGGCATCGTGCGCACGACGTTCTCGAACGTCGTGACGCAGCGGCGGATGGCCCAGCGTCAGACCTGGGGTCCCAAGGCTGAATGTGGCCGAAAAAACGTTGCTCCGATCTTCGAAAAACCACGGGATCCAACGTCTTGATAAGAAGGACATGGTGAGGACCCAGGGACTCGTTGCTGCGACCGTTTCAACGACCGTTGCTGTGCCTGGGGCCATCACGGCCAAGGCCTTCTGAGTGCCGGCGGGCAAAAGCTCCTCGCTGAAGCAGCGTGGAGTCTCCAGCGGGACAACAAAAGTTGGAAAAGCGACTTGGTTTCAGGCTGTTATAAATTCTAAAAAACCGCGCCTTTGGGACGCAACGGTCACAACATGTGAAAGAAATTCGAACAAAATAATTTTCAACATATCATATTATGATCATAATGTCGATCTCCTTCTTTCACAGCTTTCAATGATGCGCTGTTCACGACTTTCAAACACCACTTGAAATTCAAACACATATCAACCTAACCACATATCAACCTAACCAATGTTAACGCTGAGTTCTGAAATGATGCAGGTCACCAGGTGGTCCAAAGGAGGTCTGACGAGGGTCAGATGCAAATGGATTTCCTCTCAAACGTCAGACAGAAAGGGGTTCTAGGGCTATAGGAGCACAAAGAAGTAGAACCATTCTAACCTCTATATGGGATGTTGAATGTAGGTCGAACGGAGATACCGTGCCATTGATAATGTGCAACTCTTTAAGATACTCAGAAGAACATCTGAGCTACTTCACTGAAATCTCCAGGAGCTCAGAAGTGTTGGGGAAGTCTAGAGTCTAAATGTTGGACATCGTATACAGAGTCCATGCAACCTCATCCACATGATTGCTTTGGTCATGGAAGTGACATCAGCGGCTGCAGGCCAAGTCTTGATCAAACTTTCTGTGAATGAAACAGCCATCAAGCTGCGTTACCTCCAGTTGAACAAACATCTTGAAACCACCTTGATACATCTTCCAGCTCGCGATCATAGATGTCCCATGTCACCATAATTCACCATATCTCTTTCAATGATCGGCTTGTGGAACACCTCGAGGATCTTTTTTCCACATCACTCCCCCAATTCCGCAAATAGGCTCACACACGCACACCCTCGTCCCCCCGAACACGGCTCCCCATACGTCAGCAGCTGCGTGCCACCGATCCTCAGAAGTGAGACGAAGGAGTGTAGGGGCCGACTGTGAGACCTTCGGAGACTCGGATGGAGGATGAGCTCGGTGGTTGAGAGAGGATCACCGAGGGGTGGTCCATGACAAAGATCCTGCCTGAAATCGCTGATACAGCCAAATACATCCAAATACTACCATGCAGATGTCCTGAGCTACCAAAATGGCCAGCTGAGAATCATTTGCCATAACCTACGCTTCTTTGATAGAACAAGGTTGATTTGTTCATCCATGAAGACCACAGACTAATGCAGAATACAGGTGTGCCGCACTGTGTGGTCATCTGTTGTCATTTCATCCTTCGACTGAGGCTGAGGTATTGTTGGCCCCCTCAAACCCCCAAGAAAAACACCTGATACTCCCGAGAAGATTAAGATGGAAACCATTGAAGACTATTTTCCTCTACAAACCAGTGGTTTTCAGGTTCCATGTTAATCCCAGGGCGTAAATGATACCATTCACCAATCACCCCGACCCTCCTTCCTCCGCATCCACCAAGCCCTGCCAGTGGACAAACGACGAACCCTTCGATAGAAGCGACTGACCACTCGACGACTCGACCATCCCTTTGCACAAAAACCGGCGGCGAACGTTCGTCTTTCGAGCGAACGCGAAGGTCGGTTCCGGTTCCGCATCCGACGTCGGTGGCGTTTCGGCCGCTTCGTCTGCCTGAGCTCTGCACCAGGCAGCTTTCGCGGCATCCACGAAGCCAGACCAGGCAAACCTCGGCAACGCCGTGCCATGAAGCCCCAAATGCGTGGCAAACAGGAGGTCTCCAGGAAATCCAAAAAGAAAGAACAATGACGAGCATGAGTGGCAAATCTGAATCATGTGAGCTACATACTACAAATACCGATACCAGTGTTTCTGGCTTTTTGGTCCTTTTTGTTGACGTTTAATTAGCCACGACTTCTGCCTGCCTGCCACGACTATGACGAGACACTTGGAGCTTTGCACGCACTTCTCCACCGCTTCAGGGTCCTTGCCCACACCGGGAGGGTCCCAGCGCGCCGGAACGAGCGCGTGGAAACCATCGCCATGAAGGTCAGGAGCCAAGCAGGAACACAAGCGACTACATGGAGGGATGTTCACCTCCACAAGAAAAACTCTAAGTCCACGGACTGCCGGGTTCCCCTGAGCTCTTGGCCTAGCAAACATGGCGATATACTCATGTGCCTGTTATTCCCCCATTTTTAGTGCATTCATGTGCATCTATTGATGATTCAGTCATGAGCTTGTGTCCGTGGTCCTCATGTCACGCAACGCGTGTTTCCGGATTCTGTCACACTCTGATTCACCATACTGACACCATACTCAAAAGTCCTTGTCATTGTGGCCGGTTTTCTGGGGTGGTGTGTACATGCTATTCTTTTTGCAAAAGGATGCAGAAGGCATTTCGTTTGGTGTTCAATGGATTGTTACTTGGCAATTCGTTCCTCAAGACCAAAGAAGTGCTCATGCACACGGTATAGTCAACGAGCTGGTAGAGCTTTATGAGGGAAAAAAACCGGTTTGGTTCAGCCACGCGGTCCTCGTCACAGGCCTGGAGCACGTTTTCAAACACACACGCCGCTCGACAGGATCCAAAACACATCTTAAGCTTAAAATGTTTGAGGATTTGCAGTGATAATCTAACCAAGTACCTTCTCGCAAACTACAGGAACATGCATCCTGACAATTGACCGGTGGAAGTGGTTTTGGGGTTCCATGTTAATCTGCAGGGTAGTAGAACCAAACAAATCCAAGGACATCCGTTGTAGACCCAGTACATTTGCACTGGAGGCATGAGGACATTTTGGATCAGCTTAAAACTTGATGCGATCTCCTTGCAGTTCAGTTTTCTTCATTCTGTGCAAAATCTGCTCTCATATAGTCTTGAAATACAATGAAGCAAGGTTCAGAAATGCAGTGGCCTTTCATTTAGGGTTTCTCGAGCACCAGTCTCGCAAGAACAGGAGGGATGTACATGTCAACACCATTTGTTCTTCGCTTTGTTGTGACGAACATTCACTGCATAGGGGATATAGGGCCACTTGCTGCGGATGCCAAGGAGACTTGAACACATCACCAGGGACCCCGGTTCAGACGCGTGTGACCAAAGAAAGGCTTTTCGCATCGGAGTGCGTCGATCGTTTATCCAGAGTGTGTTGGGTCCAGGTTGTCGGCAAATACATGCATCGCATGCACAAAAACATGAACATAACTTCTGGTCTAATCACACGTTCAACTCCCCCAATTGCCAGTTGATCTGGGGCACCAGGCCTGAGCCAAGCGGTCGAGAATGATCTGCGGCACCTGCCATCTGGGCCAAGCTCACTGGAACTTACTAGTACGAGTATCAAGTATTAGCTGCATAGTTCAATTTGACTGTACAACCTTTATACTTGTCCGTCGTGGTGAGGCTGTGAAGCCAGAACACGAAGCATGAAGCCTCCAAGAATTGGACTTTGAAAGGTATTTGAACAAGATTTCAGGTGGCCCTCGAAGGCTACTATTCCACACAGATTCCATCTGCTGATCTGTTCTGGTCCAAACGTACCACCCCACCCAAGCTAAGCACTTCAGTCGCTCAAACACCAAAATCCGCCTCCCAGTCAACTTGTTCTTGACGAATCCTGACCGTGCCCAAACGCTGACTTGTTCTGGAGCCGGGACTACAAGAATTCTGCCAAACTTGGCCAAAACCCAAGGTTCAAAGCAATCCGGGTGTGCCAATTTAAAAGGAAAAAGCAACGCATCTTAATAGGAAACGAACAAACCAGTCCAGCAGCACAGCAAAGTGGGACTGCTGTCAAGAACAGTTCGGGCTAGCTCCACATACGATGTAGTGCAGCATAAAAGTGAAGCCTTAAACCGAAGAAAGAAGCAAAACAAGGAACAATTACTGTGACCACATGGTTAAAAAGCATATCAAACACCAAGAACTTCTGAAGAGGACCCATCGCTTTCAGCATCATATAATCATACCGTCCAGCTCGACCGGACAGGATTCCGGAGGCTCCTGGGCTGCGCGAAGGAGGGGAAGTCCATGGGCGCTGGTGCCGGCGAAGGAGCTGGCGCCTCATCGCCTGACGCGCCGCTCGCGCTGGTGAAGCCGTAAAGCCGTGATGGTGGTGGTGTGACTCCGTTGAAAAGGCGTGACAAAAAAGGAAAAGCGCATCGAAAAATGAGTTCAAAGAGAGTTGACATCTATATAACTTGATCCATTCAGGCTCTGTCTGTAGTCTGTAGACTTCTGAAACCTGTGTTGCACGAGCTAGGATAGGTTGAACAGCAACCACAGAATACTTCACATCCCAATCCACTGCAAATACCAGAGAAAAAATGGATACAGTATCCTCCTGGTTCTTGGATGCTCTTCCGGACGACTTCTCCTTTTCATAGGACTCCCAGGACTCTTCGAGGCTCCCACTTTTTGCTGGAAGGTCCACTGCACCGAGCGCCTCCAATCGCCTGCTCCCCGCCCCGCCCGGCACGGCGGGTTTTGTGCCGCTGCGCATACGGGCGGCGACGACTCGTCAAGGGAGAACAACAAGAGGCGTTTCCTTTCGAAAGGGGCAATTTGGCATCTGAAACTCTTAGTGATTTCGATCTGCCAAAGCTTTTGGTCCAAATCAAAAGATCAATGTGCCGAATTGGACAAAAGGTCGTCTTTCTTCGCCTCCCCCGGGCTGAACCGGTGGTCTCTTGGCTTCTTTTTCCCCGACACGGCGGGGATGTCCAGTGGTTGAGAGATTTTAAAAAACATCAGTTGGCACTTAGCTGAGCTGATGGATGGCTTTCTTCCAAGACTTATATGCAATGGGCTTGTACTTTGACAGTGAGACACCCAACCAACAAGTTTGGGTGTTGTTTCCTTCTCCCTAGTTTAAAACACACCCATATGCCTATACACATGTCTTGACCCAAGCAACGCACTCAAGGCAACACCAAGTGAATGTGCTTCGTGAACGCCTGGAGACTTCTCGTGAACGCTCTTCCAGAATCTCCTGGACCTACGTGGACCCAACGGAGACGACGCGCGAGTATCAACGCCAAGAGAAACATCGACTTGTGCTGGGGAGTTGATCATCATACTATACCAAGACATAATATATATGCAACTGAAGACTGAAGATATACTATACCCAGAAATGATTTGCTCATCATTTGAATTCTGAATTCTCCCCAAACCATTCCAGCTCCTAGGTCAGTCCCTTTGAGGGTTGGTAGTGGTGTGTCTTTTTTCTTTCTTCGCGGCGTGGCTACTGCGGTCATGGAATTTCTGCTAGTGCACACACATGCAATAAGCACATATGAAACTTCCAACCTTCTGTGGGATAAAACATACCCTGGGAACAGTAGTTGTACTGTACAAGTAGTGCACATCCCCAAAAGGAACACAGGCCGGTCAACAAATTGAAGTGTTGACGTTGATCGAACAGTGATATTCCAGAAGAAACTGGATGGGGTTGCAATTTATGAACAGTGACCTAATACGACGTGACCCCTACTCCAACTGACCCATTGACGGAACAAGACTTCGCTATTTTGGTGCTACCTCATGCGGTTGAGAGCGCCTCCAGCATCCTCCAGCTGTGGTATTTCTAGGTATTTCTCCCCCATTCCATTTGTCTCCCAGCGCGTTCCCGAAGACAGCCACCTCGCTGGGAAGAGAAGCATCGCCTCACCGAAGACATCGACATGTCGACTGTTCACCTTCTTTGAGGGAAGCTCTTACGGTGCGTTTTCTCAAGGTTTTCCGCTCCTTCTGCGTTCTCTTTTGGGGGGATGGCAGCCCCGCAAAGACACGGAGAGATTCCATGGAGCTGCCAGCCGCGGTTGTGATTATGGAGAAGACGCTAGAAACACCGACCTGGAGGGTTCGTCCGTCCATGTCCAGAGCGGGAACGTCCGTGAAAACGGTGAGCCACCGATGTTTGAGCCGCTGCGCCTGCTCCAGGTGCTTCTGCTTGCTCCTGGTCCATGCTGGTCTCTGCAGTGAAGGTTCATTATGGGAGACGCAAATGCTCTCAGAAGACAAGGTTGAGAGTTCCTTTTCTGAGAAACATCTGGAAAAAGCGTGACTTTCCAATTGCAATCGGAATCCATAGGCAGGCCAGTCGAGTTGTGATTTGGCAGCTCGGCTTGGGACATTCTTGGAGGACGCTTGTCCCCACGATTCCGGGACCCTTCAGGGTGCAAGCGGCTGATCAAAGAACGTCCCGGTCTCAGGGAACGGTCATGATGAGTGTTTCATGAAAGCTCCAAATCAGCCGTGTCCCTGGTCAACTCCCCGCTTGACTGGCGACAGCGTTTGTTCTCGGCCCCGGTTTCACCGGGGCCGGCGATCGAGGGAACTCTCGCTCCTGGATCTCGGCCAAGGCGGAAGCGGCGATCCGCCTGGTGTCGTTTTTTGGGTCGGATCCGTCGGTTTGTGGCGGATCCCACTTTGGTGCATGTGATTTGGACCTGAGAGGGTACAACCTTGGCTTCGGGGTGCACCAACCAGAGTGAATGGACAAAGAAGAGTTATTAGGTGTTTTACACATGTCATACACATGTCTTTCCGTTTAACGTTCCTAGGCTTGTCCAAACATCGGACATTTGCATGTTCTTCCGGCGACATCCAATTGATCAACTCGGAAAGCCGAAGAAGAAACTGAGTTCGTTATCTTGCATTCTTGTGCTCCCTATATATACTCAAAGACCTGCAAAGCAAGCAGTCAATGAAACAAACGATGCAGTGTGAAAATGATGCAGTGATAGGCATCTAAAGCCAATGTACATGTGCAAGTACTAATTCTTCATAATTCCATCCAACAATCCTAAAACGGTCCCATCTCTGAAACAATGCACATGAATGGGTCTCCCACATTGTTTGCCCAAATAACTTCCTTATCGCAGCCAAAATCCACATCGCAGTGCCTGGGAGGTGCAAAAATCACATCGTCTGCCATGGCAGTCCATGTCCGCTCGCATTAAATGTCTACTCGAGTGCGCAAAAAACGCCGTTCTGTTCCTTGTTTCGCTGTAGCTCGCAGCTTCGCTCGGTCAGGCTGCCAGCTTCCTCGTTTCGTCTGTCTTGGTGCTCGGAGAAGGTGCTTCTTCGTTGCGCCTCCTTTTCTACCGGCGTTTTTGGCAAGTGTCGTGGTCTAGTCAGGAACCTTCACAGCGTAGAAGTAGTCGGTCATCCGGTAGACTACCATGTAGTCGGTGTCCGAAAAACCGGCAAAAGAATCTACTGAGATCTACTGAGTCAACCCCAAACAGTCTGGAGAAGGACTCAAGAACTTGCCTTGCTCAGAATGAGACCATGGACGACACACCCTCAAAGCAAGAAGCTCCACGGTGCGAGCGATGTGGTCGGGTCGACTCCGAACGAGTTTTCGTCATGCAAAGGACCACGTTGGGATACGTTGGGCAGCCCTTGGGGCACGTGAAGCCAAATCCCAGGAAGTACGTCAATTGTACGTTCTTATGGTAAGCCTTCTTAAGCTGCTGGGTTTGGGGAGATCACCCAAATTGGTGGACTTTGATTGTAATTATTATTTGACCTTTTTGGTTCGGCTTGGTCAAGTTTGGGGGGGTCGTCGTAGAGCAAGGGGACCCAAACACCCAAAGAAAAATATAGTTGGCCAGTGGCAAACTCATGAAAACAAACATATTATATATGCTCGGACATGCTCAAACACCACATGTGTCTTCTTGTGTTTCTATCGTGGCATCACCAAGTTGCCATCGGCTTGCCTCCTCTCTCGAGCCCAGTTCCAAGCATGTTCAAGTGGCAGTTCCAGTAACTGTTCATTTGGGTGTGTGTTAAAATAGGGAGACCTCCGAGCTCCCAAGGAAAACTACCCATTGGTCCAGGGTGTGGCGTCTAAACTACCCATTTCGATGCTGTGCAGTGGTGGATGCCCAAGGAAACCTTAGCCTTTGGACTTCGATGGCCATTCCAACAGATGCATCCAACCAGCCTCACCATCCTCGCCCAATAAATACTTCATGTCCCTGGGCTGCAAACGTGCCTGGGCACAGCGTAAGCACAGCGTAGGGTCTGTGCACAGGGCGGCAGTACTGCAGCACTGCGTAAGCTAGGCTACAAGGAACCCCACAGTCCTGCAGGAGGATCGGTGGGATTCTCAAAGGACGGCACAACGTAAAATCAGCAGATTTGATGGTGCGAACAACTCAACTTACAAAATAAAGCTGCAGATTGAACGGTTTCCTTTGTCCCATCTTCGGATGACTGGACCATTGTGACTAGCACCAAGAAAGGTAGGATCGAGTCATCCAACCATCCTGAATTGAACTCTGCATACCCACAATGGTTTGACAAGCTGGACTTCACCATTGAACCATCTTGGTTAACCACCCGACGCGTCACCTCGCATCGCGTGAGCACAGCGCATGGGCGGCCACGAGTCGACTCGGCGCCTTCCGCACGATCTTGGCGGCAAACTCCTCAGCTGGTGCAGCTGGTGTACATACACTCCGACTCACTAAGGTGGATGTGGAGTTCACCCCCCCCGGTGTTCCGGAAAGAAAGCAAGGGACCGCCCTTCCCTTTGGATTTGGGACCATGAGAAAAGACCATCCATGTGATGCGTTCGTCCGAGTGTACAGCACGAACATGGTCGATCCACATGGATTGACATGAGGAACCAGTCTGCTGCCTGCGGTATGGACTCGGTGAGCGTCAGTATCACTTGTGTGAGGTAAGGGGAAGACACTTAGCTTCTCTTGACCTCAAAGGATACTGGCTGGGTTGTTACCCTACCCCAACAATCATGGAAGTGGACAACTAACCCCCTATTGGTAGAAGAAAATCGTCTTGCAAGGGTCCAGGCCATCCACTTCCATGATTGTTAAGATGGGGGAGTACATCAGGTTGCGGCTGCATCAGGTTTGAGTATCCATTCATTCGATGAGATGATGGACCTCCAAAGATCAGGGTCCCACCTCGACAGCTCGAAGACCTGTCAACCGAAGACCTGTCAGCGATGTGATCTCAGTACTCGACCGATTCGCCACCTCACTCACACTTCTGGGAGTCCGATCACAGCATATGCTGAAACGCAAATGAAAGCCCACTTTTTGCTTCGTTCAGTATGTGTTTGTTGGAAAAGTAGGGGACCTTCCAATCGGTCTGCATGGACTTTTCCGTCAAAGTAAGAGCCTATCATCAACCAAAACAAACAAAAGGACATCCATGGGAGTGACTTTCCACTTCGGGGAAAAAAACACAATCCCCTTCAAGCTCCTTGAAGAGTTGACCTAAAAGGAAGCAAAGGATTCATAATTCCTCATAAGTCATAAAGCCCAGTCCTTGTCTTCTCGGACTTCCTTCAACTTCCCCTTGGGCGTGCACCTGGAGGCTGGACGTCTCGTCACCGGTAGTTTTCCAGAAGGATGATGTTGGCATCAATGATTCGGCCAATTCAAAACGGGTCCGAATGGGAGCGATCCTTGGCCATCAATGTAGTGTGAACGTCAAATTAAAAAAAGGATGGGACAAATCCACATGTGGCATTGTAGGTCATCTGTGCACATGTGGCTGTGTACTTCAATAGGGAGACCCCTGGCCCAATGGGTACACTTGTTTATTTCCCTTCTTCCAGGGTGCCAGGGGGTCGACCTGGGCGTAAATTTCTCAGGATGAACCTCCAGAAGTCCACCCAGGAGCACAAATGCTCACGCCCCTAACGCCGCTGCTCATCGCGGGTCCGATGGCTGGCCTCCAGACCAATCCAAAGGTTCCCTCGCCCAAGGGACCATTGCCCACCAGCGCATACCTCATTTACGTGCGGGGATCGGCCCTTGGGACGTCCGTTTGAGTTATCGAAGCCTACCGTTCAAACATTGGGAACAAACGAGCCCTATAGATCTTGACAGTTGCAAAGAACACAACAACATGTTCTGCTGTACAAACTTCTTCAAAGCTTGAACTGCATCAACCTCAAACTGCATGTCAAGATTACAAACAAAGCAGTGGACACCCAGAATCAAAGAACCTTGCAAGTGTTTAGTAGTACATAACTAACTGCAAAGAGTGTCCAAAGTTTAGGTCTCGAAGGATCACATATCAATCGCTTTTGATTTGTTTACATTTTAAACTTACATTTCTAGGAATCCAAATACATCACCAAAGAAGACACAGAGAAACCCTTAAAACCTGAAAGGGAGACATTGTGAGTTCGGTATGTCAACCTGATCTTATCTGGAGTCTAGTCATCCTATCTTCAATACCAAAGGCACCGGACACCGGGGGTTTTGCGGAAACCCCGCAGCCACGTACGGCAGTGGGCCACAGCCACGTCTCCGTCCGATGCTGTGAACGGCCAAAGGGCTTGTCCTCAAACTCCGATTTGTCGGGCCTCAGATGACGCGGCGAGTGACGCGGCATGGACCGCGACCGGAGACGTTTTCACGTTCAGGCTGATTCTCATGTGTGGGAAGTGGGATCTGGACTATGTTCTCAAATGTAAAAATATGTTCTTATCAAACTCGTGGCAGCCAACCATGAGGCACCTCCGTCTATGATACTGGTAGAAAGTATACAACAACAATCCTGGATCGCATCAGATTCTCAGGTAACTGGTTTCTATGACGCCCTTATTCATGATACTACCTTTTTCCCTCCAAACAATTTAAGGTACTTTGCTGGAAGGCCACAGTTCAACACCATCCAACACCTTTGCAGTCATTCTTGTGGAGCTGTCTCGTCCTCTATCTGCATTCCTGACCTCATCGTCCAATGAAACATACAAAAATAGAAACACGTGCTCTTTTCACCACACCGAAGCGGCTGCGTATCCTCTGTTTGAATCAGGTCATCGAAGAGGTTGGAGCAACTTTCCTGCCGCTTCAGGCCACCAACACGGCTGCGCAATCACATCCGACTTCTCTATCACGTCCCATGAAACGAAGCATTGGCACCAGCATTGGCCCATCGACTCAAACATGAGGGTCATCTTGTGGAAAACAATCTCATGCATGGTTGTTTGCTGGTCCTAAGTTGTGCTAACCCCCCCAAAAACACAGTATCAAAGCTCCCCTAAACCAAACTCAGACCTCCAACCCCCCCCAACCCCCAAACCATCTAAACCAAACAAGTACACATGACTTTGTATCAACATGATCAAAGTGCGCATCAGCCCCGGAGTAGAACCCCTGAAAACCTCCTTCCGTGTGTGAGATCACAAACGGAAAACACAAAGATCCATTCTGAATTCACCTCCATTTGTACTCCATTCACTCTCTCTCTCTCTCTTCTCCCTTAATGGACCTCCAATTCAGTACAACTCCCCTTGTGTCCCGGGCAGTGGTTCCCCAGTCGGGTCAGTCGCGCGGTCGCGCGCCTCGCGCACCATGCCGACATTGTCTCCTGCAAACCAACACATCGGACAGTGGTATGTGGATGTGCATGTTGTAGGCTTTGGCACCAAGGAAGGATATATCTAGTGTGTATATGTAGTGTTTTATATAATGGATCCATATACCCTCTGAAAAGCTGATGAGAGACTATTTGTGTAGGCTCGGAGGGTCCAAGTACCTTCTGAGAAGGTATGCGGATCCCTGTAGGGATAGATAATCTACAAGTTCGCACGGTATTTTAAGAGATTCAATCATTCACCATGTGAAGCAACATTCCACGTTGGACACCTTTTTTAACATGTGCACCGTTCTAGAACGGTGACATATATGGTCGGTTGCCTGCCGCCGTTGCAACATAGAACCGGCATGCGTGAAGACTTCGGGAGACTTCGTGGTGGAGGTTTCTATCCAGGCATCGCGTTTGGGAAAGCGTTTCTTGAGAGTTAAAGGAAAGCGGGAAAGCTTATGGAGTAGTGTCGGCTGTCTGTATGTACCCGGAAAGAAGAAAAACATGAACCATCATGCAGGGAGACTGTGAGATAGACATCCGTACAAGTTGTTGCAGGCTTTTGGTGGCGGTGGAGGACATCTTCCATCCAAAGCAACTTGGGGCATTGTTGGTGCAATCGAATTCAAA